ATCTTAAAACAGAACCAAGTATACGAATTTATTTATGGAGAACATAGGAACGATAGTAAGATTTCATATCAAGTTACCTAAACAAGCATTATTTGATTGACATTTTTTGGTAACAGATGAACATTTGAAAATTCTCTATGTGGCGATAGCAAAAGAGAAATAGACATGGTGATTATTTCGACTGCAGCGTACTCATTCAGTGTTTTTAGTTTCCAATCTTACTAATAAAATCAATCGACAAAAGTGTCTACGGAATATATATTTATATAACTAAATTCTAAAACTAATAACCTTTGTATTAGTAGCGGGTTACAGGAATTTCGGCCCACGGAATTTTCGGCCCAGAATTTTTGACCATCACCCTCACATCCTAACGTCATCCTGAAGACAGCTAGGCTCTGGGCCGAAAATTCCTTGGGCCGAAATTCCGGTCTCCCATTAGTAGCTAGTTATAAATTATATTATAATTGATTAATTTTTTTTTATAATATAAAAGCTTCTGTCGAGTTTGAAAAAGTCACTACATACATAACACTAAAATAATATTGAAAAAAGATTATTAGTAAGAAATAAATCTAGTTCTTTCTTCATATTGACTGTACATGATCAAATATTCATTTCTAGCTACAACAAGTGCTGTGGCAGCGCCCTCAAATATGGTTGGTTATCGAGGCAATATTGGTCAAAGTTATATTTTTCTTGTGACGGGATCTGTTAGTGGTGCTATATGGGGTACAAATATTTACACAGATGATTCAAATCTTGGCGCAGCTGCTGTACACGCTGGTGTTATTCAGAACAATCAAGCAGGTCTAATTACAGTCACGATGTTAGCAGCACAAAGTAGTTATACAAGTACCACTAGATATGGTATTACTTCTTTTTCATATGGCTTTTGGTGGGGTAGTTATTCTATTACTAGTGCTACTGGATAAGAATAATCTGTTTTTTTTTTGTTCTATTAATTATTATTCAAATAGAAACTAATATATTGATGCTGATTTCTCATCAATAAACTCAAAACAAATTTAAGCTGTAAAAACGTGTATTTGTATCTGTTTTGTTTCTTTTTTTTTTTGCACATGTGTAATTATCTTCATCTTTGTTAAAACAAAAAGAGTCATGAGACAATTGAGCAAACATTATCAGATTATTTAAAGCAAAGTGACAAACAAAAATAAACTGTTAAATGCCTTTAAGACTGAATAAGAATGATGCATAAATTGTAACTGACTCATATAAAGCTGTCACAGGTGTACACATTTTGTTTTGTTCTCTGCGCGCCTTAAAGACGAAATTAGCCAATATTCAGTACTTGTCATCATATCATTCGACAGAATGGAGTGTTTTATTTCACAACATGATGCAAGTCAAACATACGTCGTAACACGTCTATTATAATTTTTTCTTATCACTGCAAAAAAGTCAGTCTTGCAAAATCATTATAACTATCCATTTAAATATGATATTCGTCGCCTTGCAGGTAATGTTTGAATTATTATGGTCAGTCAGACAAAAAGCCAGCTCGATGACAAATGAAACAGACTAATACTTATAATTCTTGCTAAGTATTCAATTGATGATCGATATAAGTATGTTTACCATAGTTTTTGTTCTTTTCACAGTTTAATTACAATAACGTAAAAACTATAAATATAAGTCACTAAGAGAACCATCGTAACAAAGAAACGGCTCGTAGACGATTTCAAAATTTGATTAATTCAAATATTAATATTCGATCGTATTTATTTTGTTTTACTTATTTATGACTTATCTGTTCTTTCATATGAGATCAATATTCTACATAGACAGCATTTTTTTTGAAACATTTCGATGAAATAATCTCAACATTCATCAAAAAGTTAAACAACCATCAATCTTTATTTTTTCTTCATATATTTATTGAGTTTGTTTTTATCGTAACAATACGTTGTTCGTCACAACGACTGTTCATTTCTTTTTGTCCAAATAATCAACGAAAAGTAAATTCTCAGACAAGAAAATAGTTAATTAGAAACTTATTTTAATGTAATTAATGCACAGTAAATTGATGTATGTATCTAATAAAGAATAATTATTTCATTTCTTGATTTCAGAATAATGTCTTCAATTATCTGTAAAGTTCCGTTCGATGTATCTGTTCCTCCACGATTCATCGTTAATCTCGATTTACCTCCAATGTTAAGATGGCAACATATCCTACGCCTATATATAGATCAACTTCATCAAGTTGAAAAAAGGATTGAGTCGATAGTCAATAAAATCGTTGGTGAATGGCTAGGTCCTATGTTTGAAAATGTTCTATCAACAATCATGGCTGGTATAACACGATTAGGACTAGTTTATTATGGACAAGAATTAAAAGGTATCTCACATGATACAGGAATACCATTAGGCAAATTAGTAATGATACAATTTGTTTATGAATGTTTTGCATGTTGTACATCGATTGTATGTCAAAATAAAGAAACTAATATTCCAATGCATATTAGAACTATGGATTGGGGACTTGATTTTTTAAAACAATTGACTATTGGTATGTACAAATATATTTTCAAGACATGATAGAATCTTAGTTAATTTTTGAATTAGATTGTCTTTTATATTGTCACTGCCATTTTTTTGTGTATGCTTAGATGTTGATTTTCAGAGGAATCATCAAACGGTTTTTAAAGCAACAACATGGATTGGTTATGTGGGAATTTTAACAGGAATGAGAATTGAAAATGGCTATTCTGTATCAGTTAATTTTCGTCATATAGGTGGACAATTAACAACGAATCTCAAAACTGCTTTAGCAAAGTAAAATTACGAAAGATATCTTAAAAAATGAGACACTTGTTTGGTCTTTTTTCAAAATTTTAGAAAATTTCTAGAAAATTTAATATGAGATAGAAATCAGACAGAGGATTTTCTATTTTACAAGAATATAGATCGATTCATCAGAAAAACATTGTTTATTTATACGCAAAAAAAAACACGAAATGAAAAGAGTTATACAAATGGGCACAGCTTCTCCATAGTACAAATGATTCTTATCATCACATTTGAAGATTCCTATAAGTAGAGCAGCGCGACAATAGAAACTCTATATCTGTAGACGAAAGATTCAACAAGACTCACTCTATCGTTCAGAGTGCATTGACACACCAAGAAACTTAAATTCATACAGCAAAGCTTTGATTGTAATGGCTGGATAGCATACTTGATAAAGCAAGAAAAATCATATTGACTCCCTGTCTGACTAAACAAGTTTTTCTTTCGAAAGAAAACATACAGTGTGTATTGAAAATTAATATTAGTATTAGATAGAAAACATTTGGCGTGCGAAGAAAAAGTAAAAACCTCTTCATTCTAGTGAGAAATTATAAATTTTCGGTCAAAAATAGATGTTAAAGGAAATCTTATTTTCTGATAAAATTCCTTTTCATATTGATGAACTTCAAAAAAATAAGATAAATTTATCAGTTCAGTTTATTTACATTCTAATACAAAATGCTTCTACAAATGCGTCCGATCCGAAAAAAAACAGATTGCAATTGAACAAATTTAAGCGAATGCATACAAACTTCAGAAAGATGTTATAGGATATTAGACGGTTCACAATTAGAAAGGGGAGGGGGTGACAGGATGGAAGAACTTCTTCCTCCTCTAAAATGTTCGACTTTCTGCCAATTTTTTTTACAAAGTCGTGAGGAATTTAGACAGAAAATAGATTTTGAAATAACATTTGTCTTTCACTGGCAGAAAGCGAAATAAAAATAAACAGATAATATCTTTTTTGAGATGAATAGAAATGAGAGAGGATGGCCTGATGACAGATTCTTTGTTTATGAACAGGATCGAGTGATGGTAGATTTTGTTCTTTCGGAAATAAAAGCACTTTTTGCAAGAATTTTTCAGCCCTTTTCACTCCTAAAAATATCGACAACCTTGAGATATAGTGCTAGTTTGTGCGGCCCATTTCAATTTACTAACAGAAAGTTCTCTACCATTTTTGTTTAAGAATAATTTGCTCTAGAAATTTTCCAAAAATTTGAAAAAATTTTTTTATTTTTCTAGTGGATGGCCAATTGGTTTTCTTGTTCGTGAAATATTAGAATCAACACAAAAGTATGAATTAGCAGTTGAACAACTAGCACAATCTTCAATAATTGCACCATGTTATTTTACTATATGTGGAACAAGTCAAACTAAGACTATCGGAACTTTACTAACTCGTAGGCAAACATTAGAAGAAAACAGGTAAATGAAAGTGAAAATACATATTAGTCATTAAATTTTTTTTTTTCATTTTGAAGACAAACAGTTTCCGAACATGGTTCAATCATACAGACTAATATTGATCATTGGAGTTCAGAAAAAGAGGAAGATATTTTGTTTTCGATAAAACGTCGAGCTTTATCTAAACAATTGTTGAATTCGATGACAGAAGTCAATGAATATGAATTATGGAAGGTAATGGGACATTAACTCAATTTATAGTATGGGCATTATTATCTTATTTTATTTGATAACTAGTCATTGTCTAAGTATTCGACTAGTATTCATTGCTAATAAAAAAAAATCGAACACTTGAAAAAGAATTATTTTAACACAAAAAAAGAATCCGAATCTATAAAAGACTGAGATCTGTTTGTCCATTTCTCATATCAAATGTCTATGATAGATTTTGATTCTATTGAAATGATTGCTACATAAATCATATAAATAATTCGAAAAACTCTACTGTCAGTAGTGATATATTAATGCATCATAGAATCGCTCTATCTTGAAGACATTTCTAATGATTTACATTCTTTTCTAGCTAATATCAGAATATCCAATATGCAATGATATAACCATTTATGGAACATTTATGTGTCCACAATATGATATATACCATACACGATATCCTCAAGACAATCGAAGATTTCATTCTTACGAAAATGTTCAATTTATCTTACTGACTGATTTGAAAGTAAGTCATTTAGTATTTAAAAGAATATTCTACTATATTATGCATAAAATATAATGCTTGTTCTGTCTCTATTTTAAACATTTATAAAGAATGAAAACTACGTATAATTATATTACTCTTCATATTTGTTTAGGATGATTTATATTGGCGATTGTCATCAACTTATGTTTGTTGTAATTGTGGACGCGAATTTGATATTAATGATAATCCAGGTGGTAATTGCATGCATACTGGAACATGGCATGCAAGATTTAATCATTGTTCTTATTTAAAATGTGGTTTTCATTTGGGTAAAAAAGCATCGATCGGTATACAACATTGGTCGTGTTGTTATTCATTAGAAAATCGATCTGATGTATGCAGTCAAAGCAATCCTCATACATTCATCAAACAATAATGAATCAAATTAAACATTTCTTATTTACTTTTGTTTTGCTCTCATATTTAAATAAGCTTGAAAATATTATTGAAAAAAATATCTTAATGATTCGAATATATCTAACTTTTCTAATGAAGGATGATCATCCATAAACATTGAATAGTAACTCTGTGTGTAAAAAGTCTTTGCATAATATATCTAGTCACATTCCATCTAATTTACTTACAAGTCACTGAAGCGAATCAACAATAACAAGCGAGAACTAGAATTTCATGCTTCGTCTAACTACATATTTAGAGATGTTCCATGAAAAAAATTAGAGATAGCGAAAACATGCGGGGGAGGGGTCAACCGATTTTGAATTTGATCCCCTAGGAATTTCAGGCCTTGTCTACTATAGATGAATCTAAAACACTACGGTCTAAAGATTTACCTCTGGTTTGCTAGGGCTGTCAGACCACAGATACTCTCAAAAATAACGCAAAAAAGTATAGAAAATTGACCTATACTTTTTTGAAATTTTTCGGTCGCAAATTTTCCACTATTCAAATTGAGTCATATACCAATCGATAGAGCTTCACTTGCTCTACAAAACTATATATATATGGTATTTCTCTTTGGTTTCAACTTAGAGTCGAAAAAGTCAAAAAATCGTGTTTTTTTCAGCATATAAAATTTGGTCCTTTTTCCAGTATTTTGGCCTAATGTATAAGAGAGAAATCGATTGGCAAAAAAAATTATTTCGTTTTGTAGCTCATTCAATTCTGCATCGAATCGTATATTAGTCATTCTTTTAAAACGTTCGAGCAATGAATGAAGTTAATAAAACTATTATTACCAAACTTATCATCTACTTCAATCCAAATATCGAACACAATAAGTCGTTAGTTCATCATGTGGCATTGTCTTCTAATTAATTTTTAACATGATGAACATGTTTTGAAGTCTAAAATAATCTATACAGCGATGATGAAAAGTATTCTATTGAATTGAGTGCTAATAGTTTTAAATCATTGTGATTTCTGATTGGCAAATAGAAGTCCAATCTATGTATAAATATTTATTAAAATACAGATTCGAAGAATTTTAATGGTTTGTATAAAAATCATTGACATGTAATTCAGATATCTATTAGATGAAAACTAATGCCATCTAGTTTGAAGATATGTTTTTCTGCATATATCGAAACCATAATAAACAGAAAAGATCGCATATCTTTTTGCATCAAACTGACAAAAATCTATTTTGTTGTTCTAATGAAGATTCAAATTTTTAAGGTCATGAAATATCAGCAAAAATAAATTAGATCCATTGAGAATTTAATAACAATTGGTATTATTTCGATAACCAAGAAACTCTCGATCAGCTTTCGCTGCTTTGTAATCTATTCGATTTTCGTATGATTTGATAGTTAGGCTTCCATGTATTTGCCAAACGTCTGATAAAAGTAAACTTTCATATTATTTCACAAGAAACCAGAAAGCTTATTACAAGAATCATATGATACATCTTATAGTTAGGGATCTGAAAAGTGGTTCCGGTTCCGACAGGATCGAAACTGGGACCGGGACTAAAATTTCAATTTTGCTGGGACTTACAATTTTTCAGGCTGCTCCCGGTCAGCTTATTTTCATCAACTATTATACAACAATATTTTCATATTTTTTACTGTTTTAATCAAAAATTTGTAAATCGACTGTTTTTGTTCTCTAATCCAATACAAGCCTTTTACAGATTACGATTATGTTACTAAAAATTGGTTTTTTTTTGGAAAGTTGAACAGTTTTTCGGGTATGAAAAACATAATATACAAAGATTTTATTCGATACCAGTTGAAACATTCTCTTATATGTACAGTGTTTTATCATGGTTCTGCTATTTTTAGTGTGAATTGCTTAGTTTTGTTGTTGTACTCATCTTTGTTTGAGAAAAACTTTGCTACTTCTTGGGAACAGAAAAATAAAAATAAAACTTAGGCTTAATCTTGCAAAAAAAAACCGAAACTAGTTCTAAAAATAGAAATCCTAGTCTTCCAGATCCTGAGGTACTTTTTCAGATAACAGACATTTCTTTTTTCTCGAATAGTACTGTACCAGCTGACATGTACGAAGGGCGTGTGTAACTTGAGGAAAAACCGATTCTAAGTCTTGATATGTTTGAAAACAGAAAATTTTAGCTATAATCAAGACCGGAACCGGATCGGAACTGAAAAAAAGTTATTTTGCTAATCCCTACCTATATTACATCTACAATGGACAATTCCAGTTAATGTATGTGAATGTGAAAGAAGTTTTTCATCGTTAAGAAGCCTTAAAATGTACATTCGAAATATAACAGGTCAAGAAAGATTATCCAGTTTATCTTTAATATGTATTGAACGTGACTTTGATATTGATTCAGATACTATTATAACTGAATTTATATCAAAAGATAAAGATGGAAAAAGATATTTTGAACAACAATAAACTGATAATATGTAAGGTTTGAAATAGAACATTTATTATTATTATTGTCGCTTTAAAAAATTTATTGCTTCCCCTAGAAACTTTAGCTTGCACCGCCTATGAATCAGATAATATTTTACAAGTAAAATCTCAAAAAAATAATCTCTGATGTGTTACAAGACACGAAACAAATTTTGTTCGAACGTTGTTTATTGAAAAAGAACCATCAGACTACTTTTTTTCAATAGGAGTCTTCTAGCTCATTGGTTTTTATATTCATTTCCTTCTATTTCAAACACTTAAAAAAATTTTATTTTTTTTTATAATTTATTTTAACAAAAATAGAAAAAAATACGAGGAAGAGCCGAATAAAAGGCTACATCTATATCCGTCCATCTTCAACACTAACCCGCCCCGTGGCGAGATGCACTGTCACTGACCTTCACCCACCTATCCACCACTTCGACTGGGCCTTCTCTAACTGGGCCTCCATTTCGTCTGCCCAAGCCTCCATTGCATCTGCTCGAGCCTCCATTTCCTTTGCTCGAGCCTCCATTTCATCTGCCCGAGCCTCCCACTCGGCTAACTGGGCCTTCAATATTGCGATCACAGCCTCCCAGTCTACATCTACCGGCTGTTGTTGGGTGGTTGGTGACGTTGATGGAATCTAAAATACACAACATTAAACAATTAATATAAAACAAAAAGAAATAAAAACAATAATTCATGAGGTACCAAAAAAGGACTGAAAGAGTGGTCAGTAAGATGATCAATTGAGACAAAATATGATAAGAAATTGGAAATAAATGTTAGTCTAGTCTGAACTCTGTGTACTACTCTTCTAATATTCTAAGTTTATTTGTACCGTGTTTGTGTTTGTATTAGTGATTCTACTCATTGTTGTTGTTTGTTCGATCTTTCACTTGATAAAAAAAATAATACAACTACGAGTGAAGGAAAATTGTTAATGACGAAGGACTAATATGAATGAGAGAAACAAGAGAAAATATAACTATCAATAAGCAGCTTTTTTTTGCTTTGTTTTTCTCTCTTCTTGTAAATGATTGGTCTCAAGAGTAAAGTGAATAGAAAAGGTCAACTATTGAACAGTGTTACGAAAAAAGAACGAAGCGAATATATCTGCGTAAGACCTTAAACAGGCTAGACAGAATTGAAAATGAATTAAGAAATGTATTTGGTGTTGCCACGTAACAACACCAATGACATTTAATAATTTATTGAATTTTAATTCGATCTAGTCTGTTTGAGGCCTAAGGTCAACGGAAAAGAAGAAATAGTTGTGTGGTGTCAAATAACAAGTAGTTATTTGTGACTGAACAATGGAATCCATGTAAAAGAAAAAGACGAAAAAAAAATTTGATTTTAATCGATTTTAATCCATTGAAATAAATTTATAAATAATCAGCTTCAATCAAGACAATGGATTTTTATCTAATTTATCGACATTTTGTGTTATATGAATAAATTTCAAATGATATCATATCTTAAAGTGTGACACATATCTCAAAGGTTATGATCTAGTATTATACTTAACATCTGATGAGGCCCCATGTAAAAAAAACGGTCAAAAAAAAAAGATAAAAACTGATTTTTCAACCAATAATCACAAAAATTCGATTAAATACAATACTTTTGATTAAATTCAACAAAATAATAGATTAAATTTGTGTGACTTTGGTTTAGTAGCAACTCTATAGTTTTCAAAAACGAGCAATCCAAAAAATCATGGAAAATAAGAGGGTTCGTGTTCGAATCTGGAGAAAACCACTTATATTCGATATGTATGATAATAATAGATTAAAAGGTAATAATAGTTTAAAATGGATTATAAGGTAATAGTGAGCATAAAGTGGAAAAACTCCGGTTAGGATCAGTTTCTACGTGATTAAAAATCGATTATAATATATTTTTTGTGTTGAGAACTCTATTATAATGGCACTATTGTAATTCAAATTTAATAATTAAATTGGATTTAAAATCAAAAAAATCCGATAAAATTGATTTCACTATATAATCTATTATAATAGATTTTTCAGGACAAAACAATCTACAGGGTGGTCCAAAAGTAACCGAACAGTCTTTGATTGCGAATAACTTTTGATAGGAACAAGATAGACAGCTGTGGCTTTCACCATTTGAAAGAAGACATGAAGACGCATTGAAATGTATTATATAAAATAATTTGATCTAGTTTTTTCAAGGCCTTACATCAACGGTTTAAAAAACCAACACACTCCGTAAGGTGGCTATACGGAATTTTTTATGATCAGGCGTGCATTCGAACCGCTTTTCGAAAACCTGTAAAGTCCATACTTTGGTAGTTACTTCTTCAGAAGTTATAGGTATTCTGCTCGAAACTATGAACCAATTTTTCTATTTATTCCTGTGAAAAAATAACTTTTTTGTTTTTTTCTTATTTTATAAGAAACCATTTTTCCGGCAGTTTGTTTAGAAAATTGATAAAGAAAGGTCTAGAAAACATCTTAGAAAAACCTATAATATATGATTCGATGCATTTTCATCTCTTCTTTCAAACGGAGAAAACCACAACTCTCTATCTTGTTCCTATCAAAAGTGATTCGCAATTAACGACTGCCAGGTTACTTTTGGACCACCTTGTATTATAATCAGATCTTTTACGCTTTTTTCTACATGGCGCAAGAAATTTGAAAAAACAATAGAAAATTTGAGTTTCTAAGTTAAAACTCGAGAAAAACATGTTTTATGATCATAACAAATAAAATCGATTAAAATTGATTAAAAATCGAATGATCTGATTAAAATCAGATTTTTTCATCTTTCCGTTTTTTTTAACATGCGAAGGACATATAACTCAATAAGAGTAGAAAGAAAATATTAACCTAATCGTTGACATAAAAATGTCAGAACTTTTTCTTTCAAAAATCTATCTCAATCTAAATATCTTCAAATAATTTTCTTTGTCACTAAAACGCTTATTAAATTAAACATATACTGAAGATGATCTT